CTGGACCTCGTAAGTGACTTCTGTTTCCTCTGAATGAAGTAGTCACCCTGCTGTCCCTGGAACCGAAAAATGATCCTACACAATTCTATAAGTACTATTATTAACCCATTTTCCAGCTGAAGGAAGAGAGACAGAGGGTATTTGCTAGCTTGCTAGTATAGAGTAGACCTGGGAAAAAAAGCATGATTCTATACATCCCAATGGAGAAATAGTGGTTTCGCCTCCTGAAACTGAGGCATGGCCTACCCTTTCAATTGTGGAGAGAATGGTACTGCTCAGTGGCACTGGCGATGAGCTGGCTTCTGTCTCCCTACCCCGAGACCTAGGCAGAGTCCCTTAGTTTGAACTACAACCACCATGGTAGTGGCCTTCCTCTAGAACCACTGAGACTGCTGTTTCCTCTGACTTAAGTAGTCACCCCTCTGACCCCGAAAATGAGGAATGACTGGTGTGTTGGTCTGGTTTGACTAAAGAAGCAAATCCAGAGACACTCATAGTGGTGTAAGAGTTTTATTACCAAAAATAATTGTACATTCAGAAAACATCCCGGCCCAGTCCAGATCAAGTCCATGAGTTCGATATTAGCCCATAAGTCCGATAGTAGCCCATATGTCCATGTGGTAGTTACATAATCTGGTGTCAATTTGGGACTTGAGAGGATTAAGAGTGAAAGGGGCGAGAGACACTATCTCTCTTTCTGCTCACTCCTTTGGGAATGCTCTACTGACAAGACCCATGGCACTACACTGATCAACCCCATGCCCTGAGCAGGAGGAGCCACGTGGAGACCCCTGCCAGCGCTGAGATGCTTACAACGTGACTGGCTCCAAAGACTTTCTGCCCAATTGGCCTGTGATCGTCCTGCATTCGGTATCATTGTGCGTGTTTTGTAAGTCTGAAGAGGACTTTATAGATTGGTATCGGACATATGGGCTAATATCGGACTTATGGGCTTGGACTGGACTGGGATGCTTTCTTACTGTACAATTACCCTTTATATAAAACTCTGTCTTATACACTTGAGTATCCATGGATTTGTTTCTCTCGTCTCCCCAGACTAATACAGTCTATAAATTCTTCTATGGACTCATGCAACACATGGAATGATGCCGAAAGCAGGCCAGTGGGTCAAAAGTGTTATGGAAGCATCTCAGTGCTGGTGTGGCTCTCCACGTGGCACCTCCAGCTCCAAGGCTCTGGCTGCCATCTGCATAGCTCCATGTGGCTTGTCAGCAGAATGTGAAGTAGACAGAGTGTGTGTCCCACCTCCAAGGAGGAAGAGCAGAGTTTCCAGAATCCTCAGGAGAAGGCCATGGTCACACAGAGGCCTCATTGGCTATGGCCTGATTGACAGGCTAGCCTCCACCCCTTCGCTCGTTGACAGGAGATCATGTAACAACCACAACTGGCCTCTTCAGATGAGGGGACAGTGTGCTTCTGCCCCCTGAAGGCCAGGAATAGCCCCTTACCTTGAACTGAGGAGATGGGAATGCCCCCAATCCTTGAACCTAGGAGACTGTGGCCCACACCAGCGGCTAAGTCATGGTGTCCCCACACCTTGAACCTAGCCAATTGTTGTTTCACTTGTGAAGTGAGTAGCCCTGGCAGTGCAGTGCTTACGCATTGGGCTGCTTATCAAAAGTTCTCACTGCCATTGAGTCAGTGTTGACTCATGGTGAGCCCCGGTGGGTTCCCCAAACTGTAGCTGTTTACAGGAGTAGAAAGCCCAGTCTTTCTCCCTTGGAGCTGCTGGTGATTTCGCACTGCCAGCTACACAGATCATAGCCCAAATGTGTAACCACTACACCACAAGGTCAGCAGGGTCAGTAGGTCGAAACCACAAGCTCATAAATAGGCAGCTCTAACCTGTTAGTTTCGAGTAATTCCTGAACCCGAGGCATAGCCTTGCTCCGCTATTTCTACAACCAAAGCTGTGTGGGCCATTGAGAATCAGACCCACTTGGGTTTGAATCTCAGTGCGGCCTCCTTTGAGTTGCATATCCTTGAACAAGCCCTAGTCAGTATCCTCCTAGGTCAAAATGAACACCCAGCCTTTATAACATTCCTGTGAAGCAGCTCACTGGTCAGGGTAACCACAGTGATAACACTAGAGTTGGGAGAATTATAATCAGAAAAGTTGTCATTGCGTCCATGGGAAGGGAGCCCAAAGGCAAGGTCTTTGGGAGGTCGGCTTCACCACAGCAGGCCAGCAGGGGGCGGGGTCCCTGAAAGTGACACAGGGAGTTCTTTGATTTTGACAGGGCCAACCCAAACAAGGTGGGCATTTGGCGGCAGGCTTTTACTTCTTGGACCCTAACTGCTCTGCTTTACTCTGTCAGCATGGGCTAGTGGTGGGGGTGATCAGGCCCTTAGAGATGCCCTGCCTCCATCCCAGTTGAAAGCTAAGGAGCAGGTCTCAAGGAGGGCAGTAAGGTACTCAAAGTCACCGGGCACGTCGGTGGCAGTTGTGGCTAGGTTGCAGGTCTTTAGGGTCCGGCTCCTCTGCTTTACAGTAGTCGAGATTGCGTTTGTGTGCCCTGTAGGACTGAAGGCTGCAAACAGGTGGTGCTTCACACACAGTGGCCCAGGCACAAGGTACAGGAAGGATGATGTTTTGGGGATTCCATTCTGAGGCCTATAGTGGGGAAGGGATGCACCAGGGATCTGTCCTTCAGGGGACAGGATATCAAAAGGCTATCCAGAGTCAGGAAAAACAAAACTAGAGGGGCCCAGGGTGTTCCCATAACAGGCTGAAGGGGAAGAGGGGAAGGCTAGGCCAGCCACTCTCACCTTGGGGTTGTCAAACAGGGTGTGTTGACCCAGTTTCAGGTTGTATCCCCAAGGAGATTTGGATCCAATAAGGGCAATGGATGAATTCGTAGGACTTGTTGCCAGGGCAGCATGTCTAGTTGGGACGAAGAACAGGAGGTGGTACTTTGCACAGAAAGGGGATTTGTCTAGTGTATATCGGTTTCAATGTAGAGACTACTGAGGGCCAACAGGGAAATGGCTGCCACCATTCTCATAAGCACCAAATCTTAAATGATTGGGGATAAACAACCTTATTAATAACCTTACCTCCTAGTGGCAAGCATGTTTCAACAGAAGAAACCAAACATTTATGGACCAATCAGCACACGTTAGCCAACTTATGCTAAGAGTGATGTCATGGCGGGATGTTTATAGGCAAGAGCACAGTCCCTGCTCAGAACACTTATCCGGTCTTCTGAAAACACACGTATTTTCCTCACCCTTGAAAACACAAAAGTCCAAACTCAACGGCCATCAAGCCGATGCCAACTCATAGGGACTCTTGGCCAGTAAGTGCCAAATGTGAGGTTTACAGGGGCTGGGGGAGGCAAGGGGGCAGTGACTGCTTAAAGAGGACGGGCTTTTCCTTTTCAGGTGTGAGCATGTTCTGCAACTAGCCGATGGTGATGGTGGCGTGACACTGTTCAGGCACAAATGTCGTTGAGCAGAGCACTTGAGAATGGTTAAGATAGTGCATTTTATGCTATGTGAATTTTGCCACAATACAAATTCAGAATTGTCACAGCGTTTAAGTGACAGCCATCGATGAGGAAGATCACTGAAGGAAGGTGACAAGCACTTGGAAAGCCACACCTTAAGTTCCAGAAAGAACCCTGCCAAGTCATCAAGCAGAGGAAGGCAATCAGAGCTTGCTGATTGTTTACTGCACTGTGAATGGTTTACTATGGCTCTTGTAGCCATAGCCTTTGTTACTCCCACCAAACAACTTTTGTTTCCCTATGGGTCTGATGAGATGATTCTGCTGTGTGATGGGATCAATTAACAGGGTTTATTGTGTTCATCATCCTGCTGGGTATCAAATGAGCCATCTCAGAATCAGGAAGGGAGGGATTTCACTACCTGTAAAAGAGAAGATCCACGAGGGGGCATGGTTTGGGGGCCTGGAGATCCTTGCACGTTGAACCTCCTGGATCCAGAGCAGTTGGGACATCAGAGGAGCAGCAGCAGCAGCAGCAGGACCTGGAGCCAGAGTAGTACACACCCCACCCAACAAAGCAAGTAAAACAGAGCTGGCTTGTGGAGTGAGGTACTTCTGGGAACTTAATTGGGGGCGCTGGGTTTGCTGGCCCACAAAGCTGGGGTGGACTATCTTCTAGTTGAGGCTTTACAGGGGAGTGGCATACCTTCTGGGCATTTACTGATGGCTCTAAGAGTTTTGTAACACCGCCCAAGCAGGGCTGAGGGTCAGAGAGGCCTGCCTGCAGATGAGGCAAAGAAACTGTCTTGACTGAACAACTGTGTCCTAAGCATTTCTCACCTGAATTGCAACCTGCTAACTTCCCTAAGAAATCCCACAATGCTGAGCCATGTCTGTCCGTGAGTACTGTGGCCGTTGCAATGAATGATCAAACCCAGAAGGAAAGTGGGGCTGTGGTGGTGGGGGTGGGGGGACATTTACTAAATTTGCCAGCTTCATGTATTTATTGCGGATGTCGCCTTTATACCCCTACAGATACTTTTTTGCTGTCTAGTGAAAACATGTTTTTTCTGGTTTATTCTACACAGCACAACTATATGGAATAGCTTTCAACATGAGCCGTGGGGGCAGAAAATCATCATGATTGTCTCTACTTCCCATGTGAAAGAGCTGGGATATAAAAATAGTTTCCATACCTGAGGCAGGGCTCTCTCCTTTGACAACAGTGGTCTGCTATTCTGAATGGCACAGGTTTTGGAAGTGAGAATGAAGAGTTAATTACCTTTCTCGAATCTAAGACAGGTGACCAGAAAGAAACACTGGTCTGCTTCCAACGTTTTGCAACACTGAGAACTCATCAACAGGAAGACAATTAATTTGCATCCAAGTTTTAGCCAATGGTTGCAGTACAATTTGACAAAGTGAGTTCAGGTGGCATATACCCATTCTGTGTGTGTACATGTACATCTGTGGTGTCTGTCCTTCATTTGCAGCCAATGGGCTAGAGGAAGGCAAGCAGATTGGGGTTATGTATCTTTTAAATCTTTTTATTAATTATTTTGGAAGGTTACCTATCTTAATCCTGAGCATAAGCCTGGGGAGAAAAAGCAGAACAAGGATTGTAAACAGAAAAATCAAAGAGAGTCCATGACACAACATGCTCTATGTACACCATAAAAACAATACAAGGTTTTGTAGCTGAACCTGAACGTGTACTTCAAAAGGAGATGCTAACAAAAATGTGGAAAGTGCATAGGGCCAATAGTGCGGGTTCACCCACGTTGAAGTCAGAGACCAAAAGAAAGACTTAAAAGTACACACACACACACACACACACACACAGCAGGGGGCTTCAAAAAGTTCACGGGAAAATTCCACGATCACTTATCCCCATTCTTTCATGACTTTTTTGAACTCTTGTGTATGTGCGTGTGTGAACACATACATACATTGGAACACAACACATGCATGATGGTAAAATATAAGTTACTATAGTTTGCAACCTGCAGTATTTTTAATTAGCCATGTCTCGTGAGCAATCTGGAGCCTCTCACCAATGGCATCACGTTCTTTACCAGGTCAGGTAGGAGTGTTTCACTGTTACATGGACTTAAGTGGAGGAAATGTAAGGACTGGATGCAAATGATTCCTTTGTTGGGATTTTTTTTTTAACTTGGGAGTGGTCATTTGCGAACATCCTGAGTGTGCACCGCGTGTGTCCTGACTGGCAGTCCCACACAAGAAGGAGAGGCAATGGAGATGCTGAAGAAAAACAGCTGACGTTTTACTCAGAGCCTCTCGGCCTATAGGGCAAGAGACGTCGAGGATACAGTCAAGACCACGTGAGACGCAGCCAGATGCTTTTGTGATGTAGTCCCTCTCTTTGCCGCTGACTCTCTTTGCGAGGTTTCAATCAGAAGTTGTAAAGTAAGAGGCGACGGCGCCTGCTGAGATGACGAAAGCTCTCCGGGCTGCTTTATGATTCTGAGCTGAGTTAAAAAGGAAAGAGGAATAAGCTTCATCAAGAAAATGCTGTGGGTGCGTCTCCTGGGGGTGGGCCCAGACAGGAGTCAACTGCCCTCCAGAAACTGTGGACACAGCGGCACTGTTGGGTCACAGGCATGCCTACTCCCCCAACTGGCTCAGGCTGCCGCTTAGTTTCAAAGCGTTTCTCAAGGAAAGCGAAATAAAGGGCTGTGGGCTTTGTAAACACAGATGGGGAGAGCACTAATTCAGATGACATCCCAAAGCCCCCACTGGAAATACTGTTCCGGGAGGGGCTCAGTGGAATCTGGGGGCGGCAAGGGCGGGGCACCAAATGAGAGTCGGTCATCGGCATGCTCAAAATCGACATAGTGGAAAACCTTGCCACCTCATGTCGTTAGACCCCACACTGTTGTCCCCCTCAGATGTCCCTATAACTTCTCAGGGCCCATAAAGATAGAATGAGGACTTACCAGGGGGAGTTGAGTGACATGTCTTCTGTGTTGCTGTCCCCCAGAGAAAACAGAGGACTTTGGGGCGAATTTCTAGTCTCGCTTTGATTGTTTAGACTGGCATCGAAGTTTAAAAGGTGTGCTGGTTCTAGCTGGTCAGCTAGACTGAAAATGTGGTCCCCTAGCCACCCTGAAGGTTTGTAACCCAGGCTCTTGGAAGATTTCATGGTGTGAAGTGTGTTTTTTGTTTTAGTACTGTGGCCAACCGCTTTATTCTTGGTCCATCTGGAAAGAGAGGTGTTTGGGTTAGAATCATTGATTGTTCCAGCTTTAGCCTTTAACTCTTTTCCTAGAAACATCTTGGGAGTACACAAACCTTCAGAATCAGAGATGGGCAAGGTTAGAAGGGAGCCCTGGAAATTACGGAATACAAGCTAGGCCCTAGAACACCCTAGGTTTCCACGGAGACACCGTGACAGCAGCCAAGCAGGTAGGGCTCCGGGACCCTACCTCTCTTCAGATTGTTCAAGGACATAGCCAGGTTTTAGCTCCAATACTTTTGAAGCCACCACTGCGCCTCTTAGCAATTTCTTATTCCTGTGGTCCTTGCAAGCTAGTGTCTTCTCAGACAGTTGCCCAAGTAACATTCCTTTCCAAGAAATCTGTTTCTCCATACATAAATCTCCAACTCAAAGAGTTTAATGAGAATTTAAACAGGCAATGTGAAATGTCTGATGGACAGCTGTCGCTCAAATGTCCCCTTCTCTCTCTGATCAGACCGTAGGAAGGCATGTCTGGATTGAACCGCAGCTACCCCCCAAATATGCACGGGAAAACTAATCCCTGAACCTCTGGATATCAGCTCATTTGGAAAGAGGATTTTCTCTGTGATGTTAATTAGCACATACCCAAATAGAGGGGATGGGGTCTACATCTAATCACTTCTGAGGTACAAAATGATCACCTTGTCAATGGAGAGGGAAGACAAGCATGATCCGAGGATGGAGGTAGAGGGCTCCATAAGCCCGGAACTCCAAGAACTGCTGGCGGCTGCAATCTTCAGTCAACGGAGAACACGCCAAAGCACATCCATCGCCCACGAGTCACTTCTGACTCAGTGACCCTCTGTGGATTTCTGAGAGTGTAACTCTTTACGGGAGTAGAAAGCCCAGTTTTTCTCTCACGGAGTTGCTGGTGGTTTCGAATTGCCAACCATGCAGATCGCAGCCCAATGAGTACCCACTACACCATCAGGAAAATGAAGAAGTATGCCATTTTTTTCTGCCAAGGGCCATTTGGATATTTATAACACATCTCGCGTCATGGTGGTCAACCATTGAATTCACTCACCCCTAGTGATGGCTGGCACAGCTTCTCTTCAGTTTGCTGTTAGCTGGTCTTGATGATTTTGTGGGCCTTAGGACGCCTGCAGGCAGGACATTCCCTACCCCTACCTTAGAGCCACACAGTTGTCACCTTCTGAATTGTAAGAAGACACATGTCTGCTCTTTAAAGCTGCTCACTTTGGGTGTCTGTGAGCCAGCAGCAGTAGCTAACTACAGTGAACCCTCGCCACTTCGCGCTTCGACTTCCGCGGCTTCACTCTATCGCGGTTTTTTACGTAACAGCGCATGCTCTGTCATTACTGCCACTGATTGGCTCATACTGTACACGCTTGATGCCATAAATAATATAATGAATAATAAATGATAATTGTAACGTCCAAAATGTTTTACTGTATTTTCCCTTTTTCGTTTAATAAATTGGGTAATACGAGTGTAATGGTGACTAAAGGGTGTTTTTTCATGTCCTCTATGCTCTAACTACGAAAATATTTGATTTACAAATAAGGAATCCTACTTCGCGGAATTTCATTTATCACGGTAGGGTCTAGAACCGATTAACCGCGATAAACGAGGGTTCACTGTACTCCAAGGAGTAGAAACAAAAGCCCAGCTTTGGTGTTCGATGTACCTAGGCTTGAATTTGGGCTCTGCTTTTTAATGGTAGAATGTTGGAGAAATAAGACCCCTGTCTCTCTGTGCCTCTGTTTCCCTGAGGGCGACAATGGAGACGATAAACCTGCCCTAGCCAGGTTGTTGTGTGGATTAGTGTTTCTTTCTGTAAGCCAAGAGTGACGATGTTTAGTACCAACTAAGCTCACGAGAGGATGTATTTTCTAATTCTTAGAAGGCTAATCCCAGTTCCACAAAACTTATTAGAGTAAGTCACAGAGGGACTTACGTGGGAGCTGTAGCCTGAAGCAATGCATCGTTGGTAGATTTTTTAGCCACTTTCCTATCACCATTCAGTGCTTTGGTTTCTTTAGTTGTATGCTCCCCATGTGCGTTTAAAAATGTGAGTTTAAAAGACTTTTTCTTGATGTTCTTCACTGTTTGTTGTTCCTGAGGTGGTTTGCCTTCACTGGAACTCTCTAGAAAAGTAAAAAAGGATAAGACTAAAATCGAAGTTTTTTTTTTTTTTTTAAAGTAAGGACACACGTGGTGGTGAGGCTCGATCCAAGCTAGTCAGTCTGTCGTTTGTGGGTGGGGAGAGCAGGTAAGGAGACACGAGGTGAGCCAGGCCCACCAGTCCTGACCGGTTTCATTTGCCCGAGCCGCTGATTAGGACCGCTCTTTGCGCTGCCCTTGACGTACGGAGGGGCTACCTTTAAGGAACAGGTCCTCAGCTCTTTGGGCCAGGGTAGGGGTGCACCGTGCACCCCTCTCCCTTGATTAGCTACCTGGCAAATTTGCCTCTTGTTTTCGTTTCTGAGCTATGAAGCATTAGCTAACTAACAGCAGGGTCTACTACCGCCACATGTGAAATAGTCATGGCCACAGCTACCAGCTATCGAAAGGTTAATATGTGCCAGACACTATTCTTGGCATGACGTAGATGACCTCATTGAAAACCCATGCCGATCCTATGTGGAAGAAAAACAATAGCTTCTCCTTCTACAGATTGGGGGTGGGGGTGGTGACAGGAGCACAGAGAGGTTGAGTAACTTTCCAAATTCCACACAGCTCATTAGGAGAGGGGTCTGGATATGACCCTCGGCTGTCTAGCATCTAAAGAGCGATTCCCAGAACTCAGAGAGCAAGCAAACCTGACAAGGTGGTTGCATCTGACTCATCTTCTGACGTCTCCTCCTCTTCTGATGTCTCCTCCTCGTCATCTGCCTCCTCGTCTTCGGCTGGCTCACTGTGGACCGCTTCAGAGGCCTGGAAGGAAAATGGCCAACCAGATTGCATCTCATAACCGTGCTGGCAAAGTGATGGCAAAGAAGAGTGGTTGCAAAAGGCTGGAGTGGCTGTTTAACTGTTCATCGTTGTAACTCAAAGGCAAAACCTAAGCTCTTTAAATGGCCTCAAGAATCTATGAGACCGGAGCAGACGGCCTGAGTTGTGCCTTTTAGCTATTTGGGGTTAGCATTGGTTCCCTGCCCATTTGGAACCCTACCTTAGCCCAGGTGGGGCCAAACGGTGACTAGCTAAAACATTCCTAGCTGTTGTTTGAAGTGAAACGCCTCGAATGGTCTGTTTTTTTTTTTACACAGTTGTACTGGCTACAAGTCAACCTTATCAATCACTACCACAATCAATGAATGATCTTGGAGATGGCGTCTCCCAACACTTTTCAGAAATGACTTCTCCCAGCATGGTTTGGAAATGACTTCAATTCTAGATCCTTAAAGATATGAAAGCCCACAACTGGGGTATTGTTAGCAGGCAAAATAGCTGTTTGGCAGCATAGACTGTGCAGAGCACAGACTTTGGGAGGGGAAAGCCTTGAATAGATGTAGTTCACCAGATGACAGATGCTGGAGGAAGCAATTGTTTGAAACGGAACCAAGACCCCCACACAAAGGATGTATTTGAGCTCACTAAAATGATGAACTGTAATTCAGCAGAACACAGTAAGAGAGTGTAAGGCAAGGCAAACGAGAGAGTGGTAGAAGATATCTGTGATACATTTCTCCAAAGGACTCCTAATAGAGTAGGCAAAAATACCTACCAAAAAAAAAAAAAAAAAAGCATGTAAGCAAATAAGGAATGGGCAAATGCTTTGGGAAGACAATGGCACCAGACCAATTTGCAAATGGCCAATGAACACTGAGAAGGCACTCTGCTTCAGCAGCCATCACAACCGACTGTGCAGGAGTAAAGAAAGGACAAGGCCTGAGAGAAGGTATTTGCAACACAGCTAATTAACAACGTCGTAGTAGCTAGAGCACTGAAGGACCTACAAGCCAGGAAAACACACACACACAAAAGACGCACAAAGAAAAGCAGGTGAAAGACCTCATCAATTGACTCCCAGGAGAGACGACAGGCAAGCGCCACCCTGGGTGTAAATCGGGCAAATGCAAATGTGCTTCTGGATTTCAGGCCCGCCAGCCTGGCAAAACATTACAAAGTCGGCGCGAAAGAGGAATGACTTACTTTGGAAGGGTTGACATCGCTCTTTCTCGTTCTTTTCATTATTTCCTCTATTCTCTATTTAAAGGAAAATAGAAATTCAGTCATGAAAACACACATTACAAACAAAGAAGTGGTCCTGAAGAAATGGATTCTTTCCAGTTCACAGAAATAGTCCGTCAATATTTGGGGTGGCTCTAAAAATCCACAAACATCACCATCGAAAGACCTTTGGGGACCAGGCTCCTTCTTCCAATTCCAGTTCCAATGTGATCTACCTTGAATGGCGCTCATTGTAGTTCTTGTTGGGGCATAGAAATTCTGGTGACAATGTTTCCCTCCTCATTTTCAGACTTGGAAATTCATTTAAGACGAAGCACGTATTACTGACAAGTCAGTTTGAGCTTTTAACGTAGTTTTAGCCTTTAGGGACTATTACTAAGCACTTTAGCAATCTGGCCCTATTAGAAGGTTCACTACTGGAAAGAGAAATGACACAAGAGATAGTGACCCTTCTAGCCCTGATGTGAGGCGAGCCACATCTTGACAAAGAGACCTTGTAGCAGCACCTCCAGCCAGGCTGGGTCTTTCTGGCTCCCTAATGTGAGAAGCAGAGATGAGACCCTGTCTTAAAGGCAGTGGGCCCTTGGGCCTCTCAGAGGCCTGTACCCACTGCTCCTCACTCAGAGGCTCCAACTTCCAGCCTCACCACGCCTTGAGCAATTTGGTTCAAAGGTGCTTTGTTCCCAGAGACTTGGTAAATGGAGCCATCACTGCAATGGCCAGGAAAAAGAGGTTCAGTCAATACCAGAAGAGGGCTTTCCATTTAGGAGAGATCAGCTCCTTGGCGAAACAAGAGTGTGTCATGGGAAACCCCCCACACACCGGGGTTCCTACAGAGCTTATTTGTGATTTTTCAAAACTAAGTGCCCACCCTGTTTGAGCCAAAGAATCAACACAACCCCCCTACCGCAAAGCACACAAGAAGTACCTTCTTCCTTTCCAATCTTTCCTGCAAATTTTGCAACATACGTCTCTCACGTTCCTTCTTCTGTTCATCAGCTTCCTCCTGGGCTTTAATTTTGGCATCCCCTTCCTAAAAAATGTGCACAAAAATAACACTGAGTCTCATGCTCTCTCAATGATGTTAGAGAATACTAGTTTAAAAATGAATAAAACAATAAAATACTACACGGCATAGCAAAAACATGTCTGTCAGAAAAGAAACCAAACTGGGCAAAGTAGCTCAGGGTTATCGTGACAAACATCAGACCATGGCATTGTCAAGACAGTACAGCTAGCCCTCAGCACAGGAACAAGAGTCCCAATTCTTTCTCTCAGCAAAAGCATTCATCAAAAGGAGGCCTGCTCAGAGGGATTTCTGCACAGCATGAAAGTGTCTACAAGCACTCCGTCACACACGGCCAGTTTTGATGGGTGGTACAAGAAAATCGGGACTCTACGTTGGCCTATGCTAATAATTCCGTTTGGGAATGTATTTCCCTGGGGATTTACAGTTAAAGGGACAAGACATGCTGGCTGGTTGGGTTGATGAAAGTCCTAGAGGTATTCATGCGGTGCTGCTTTTCTGTTGGCAGATAGAGTGCAGGGTCTAGTTGGGAGTGTCGGGTGTGGCACCAAGGCATACAAAGTGGACAGGAAAGCTGTGCCCGAGACATTTCCTTTCTGAACTGCAGAGGTGGTAGAGCCTAGCGAGATGCAACACACAACACATTGCCACCGAGCTGACTCTGACTCCGAGCAACCCTGTAAGACAGGGCAGAACTGCTCCTGTGGGCTTCCAAGACTGCAACTCCTCATGGGAGCAGACAGCCCCATCTTCCTCCCATGGAGCTGCTGGTGGTTTTGAACCGCTGACCTTGTGATGACTAGCCCAGAATGAGTTTTCCTTTTTTAATTCATAAAACAAAGGCAAACGGATGCAAACTGGGGGCGGTCCCAGTTCTACCGGGGCACGCATAGCTGGCTACGAGCCAGGGCGACTTGCAGTCAAGTGCTTTTTCATGAGGTGGCACAGCCGGCAGCCGGCCGTGTGCTCATCTTCTTCCTTCAAGGAAGAGATTTTGGGGATGTGTTGCCACCTGGTGTTGTCATCTGGTTCGTCGGCCCTGGTAAACTGCAGAAGCTGCCCACCTGTATGACTGCCGGTCGCTCTTCCTGCGCCCGACACGCACTCTGCATTTCCATCTCTTTCTGATGGTCCATGATCACAAGGTCACCGCCCTGGCCTTCGATTGTACTCTTGGCCAGCAAATGTCTTTGCTGCATGGCACTAGAAGTATGTCAATGACAAATTAGTGTTGATCTCGAACTATCCCAAAACAGCTTGCATTTTGTAGAGTTGCATCTTAGAATATATTTCACACACTGGATCCGCTACATTTCTCTGTGCGTTACTACGCAGGATTTGAACAAGTTCACCCTTTTAAGACAGAGTAAACTAACCCTTGGTAGTAGTGCAAATACATATAAAACACACACTGGCAAGTAGTGGACAATTTTGTATCATATGTACACATGAAACAAAATACTCTTCCCTTTTTTTACACTTAAAAGGGGTTTATTGGTGATTTCCTATACAGATTTATCCCACAAATAAAAGATTTTAAATGTATTAAGAGATGATTTCTGTGCAAGTTCTCATTGTTTCATTTCATGTATTGCACAAGTTAAAATCCGGTTTGAAATATTTTGTGTGCCTTTTTTTTTCATACTGGGGCCTATTTCTGATGTATTTTGTCACTGTGGGTAGCCTTCTCGAATCTTTGTGATGTTTCTCTGCTTTTTGCTATATGAAACCCAGGATTGATGAACCTCTAGAGCAGCGGTTCTCACCCTTCCTCAGGCCGTTACCCTCTAATCCAGTTCCTCATGTGATGGTGACCCCCCCACCCCATAACATTATTTTTGTTGCTACATCATCACTGTCATTTTGCGACTGCTATGAATCAGACGACCCCTGTGAAAGGGTCGTTCAACCCTCAAAAGGGTTGTGACCCCTTGTCTCTTATCTCTCTAGAGACAACAAGCAGAATAAGGGTTCCTGGGGGGTATGGTGGGGGAAGTGAGGGGTCAAGGGGAACTGACCTCAAGGAGTACCAGAAGGAAGAGAATGTCTTCAAAACAATTGTACAACACTGCTCGATGTGACGGGACTAAGAAATGAAAACTCTGCTAGCTCCTGATACAACGATTTTGAAGAAAATAAGTAAAAACTTTACACTCTGATAAGAGATTTACATTCGATGATCTGAAACTCCTCATCTCAGACGGTTGATTTAATGTGGTGGAGAGCTCCATCACTTCAATAGCCACCACCTGCAGGAAGGTCTCTCTCGTATGACTTCTGGGACTTTTGTTAGTGTGCACAGTTTTCACTTTCTATATCATTGTCATTATCATAGCCCTCCTTCTTAACTGATTTAGACACAGGGGAGTGTCCAAACATCTGGGTCTCATCAGTCACAAGGGTCATGTATAAACACCCAGAGTAAATATTACTTAAAGAATTATACAATTTCAAAAGTCTTTTAAAATGAAGGGCCAGAGAATGGAAACCTGGTGTGATCACTCCATGCTCTGACTGATGCAGGCGAGACCCTCTCTGGATTTTACGACCTCATGAACCTTAGAAGTACAATTCATGGAGCCGAAAATGGGGTCTATATAGATACCAGCGGTCTGTCTGCTACCCCACTGTCAAGGCTACTATACTTGTTTAGAAGGCAATATGCCTGCTGAAGATAGAAGCTGAGGACCGATTCATACTGAAGAAAAAGTCCATTCCTCTTTGCAAGTACACTAACTCGAGGATATACTTGTGACTTTCCAATAAGAGGACAGAGAGGGGGAGTCTGCAACCTTTCCTGTGTGTCGCCTTTTGCTTGCTCCTCCCCTTCTTTTTCCTTCTGCTCTCGAACAAGCCGTCGCTTTTGTGTCAACATTTGTGTTGCCTCCTCTGCGTTCATAGTCCCGGGGGTGCTTCTCGTCGTGGACTCTAGTTCAAGTAAACATGTGGAGTAGTTAGTTTGGGGAAACTACTGCCTTCTCAGTTCAGCGAAGTGCGACACAACCCCAGCTGGGAAAACAGCTAACGCAACGTGCATAGTCTAAAGCAACAAGTCCTCCACAGTAAGCTGTATCATCGAGTGTGTTCAGAACCCCACCTCCCCACAGAGCAGTAGCATTCTGTTTCTTTACAGCAGCAACGACTTGTCCCAAGACGACGTCATGCACTGCTACACTGGTCTTAATAGTTTTAAATACCTGAACAAATGGGCCTCTGGGAAAAGATGAAAATGGACTGAAGGAGAGAGGATGACGAGATGAAGCTGGGTTCCAGAGGCGTGTACAAATCTTAAAATAGTTGACTAAATAAAAACTATGAGTACACACGTGTTGAGCTTTGTGCATCATCGCTATGAAATAATTAGTCTAGCTAAACCTTTCGAGTAGTATATTACTGTGCTTGGTTGATCATAAAGTGGCCAATGATAGATATTAAAGAAACCAAGACTCCTGGGAAAAGAGGTGACCACCCGGAGGCATGTTATCATTGTCCCTTAGTCTTTGTGGCTAATTCCTTCATTCTGTACAAACCTCGTGGGCCAATGAGAAGTTTAAGACATCAGGAATGAATACTTTGCTCAAAGTGGATTTCGATCATAAAACGAATTCACTGTGGAATTCCTTCAAAAGATAAAATATCCTGAAATAAATATTTTAAAATTCCTCAGGCATGAAGACTGCCTATGACATACCAACAATGCACTCTGAGGCACAAACCAAGGCCCCCGAGGGGCTATGGTCCATCTGTCAAAACTTACTTGCATCTCGGGAAGGACACCTGCCCATCCACAGGGAGTGAGATGTGCTGTCCTAGCCAGCACTAGAGCTGAAAGGGGCAGCAAGGATCACCTATTCGAACTTGCTCTTCCAATTGGAGCTTTTATCACTTGTTCCTAAAGGAATTTTCCAAAAACCATCAGTGGGTGGGGGTGAGGGAGAAGTTGCAGGAAGGACAAGCAGGCAGAAAAGATGAGTCTCTTGGTGCCAGTAGCTGGTGGCAAAGCTTCCTCTAAAGCAGCGGTTCTCAACCTTTGGGTCGTGACCCCTTTGGGGATCGAATGACCCTTTCACAGGGTTCGCCTGATTCATAACAGGAGCAAAATGACAGTGATGACGTAGCAACAAAAATA